ATATCGCCTGGCGAGTGGACGAAGCAATTGCTGGAGGGTCAGTCTAGAGTCGAGATGCTGAAAATAACATCAATCAGCTGACAATTTTTATTTGCATTAATCTTATATATATATATATATATATATATATATATATATATATATATACAAAGGAAGCTCGCCTAATGATGGTGGCGATGCCGTATGACACTTACTGTAATGGAAATCACGAAGTATTCGAATCTACTGTTGTACAGCTGAAGCAGCTTGTATTAAATAAAGTATATTTTAATTCGAATTAACTCTAATAAATGTGTTTCAAAAAATGTCAGCTTTTAGCCAACAGTCATGTCTACTAGATTTCGAATGAATCCATTTCTTCTACTCCCCCCCAAATTATAGGTTAAATAGCAGGGTAGAGTGGACTTTCTGGACTTAGGTGACAAACAGTTTAGGATAATTCCGAATTCAAAACTAGGAAGAAGGTGACAGGAAGTTACTTTATTATAGAAATGTAAAAGTCTTGGAAATGTGCTAACAACAACGAAAGGTAACTTCTAAAGGCTAAACAAATGAAATTTTTGTTCGAAACAAAGAAAAGCATGGTGAACTGCTATGTAATATCCATCCTCCTATATAACAATGAAAACTGATGAAGAGGAGACAGGAAGGATAAAAAATTTTACTTCTACAGAGGAATGCTGAGAATTCCATGGAAAGAACATATGACACTTATACTTAGAATCAGAAAGTGACAGTTGAAATTTTAGGGATATATAAAGAAAGAGGGCTTGGAGAATTTGATACTCACAGAATATATTGAAGGCAAGATGGACAGAGGGAAACAGTGAATAACCGAAATAACATTAACAAACTTGTACATATAGATGACAGAACAGGCAGTGGGAAAGATAGTTAAAAAAAATCGAAATTTTTAAGAGTTACAAAGAATAGGAAATTGTGGCGAGCCATTATCGTCCACTCCCAGAAGGGACACAACACATAAATGAAGAATATATTTCACTGAAAGTCATGGCCATTTACAGGTAATGAAAAGAAAAGGAAGCTGAAGAGAGCCTTGATCGCCAATGTCCGTTATTTGCTAGAAGCAATGATAAGAAGCAGAAGTTCATATTGCTTCATTATATCTCATTGACACAGCAAACGAACCCAGACTATATGGCAAGATCATGACAGACAGTGTGACTGTTACTGACAATAATCTCGCGTTAAAATATTACAAGAAGGCATGTAATTGCATTGCTAGCTAACTCCTTTAGTGGGTGGATCCAGTCAAATTCCGAAACTCGCATCATCTGAATATATTACGCATTCTTCTTCTTCTTCTTCTTCTTCTTCTTCTTCTTCTTCTAATAGAATTGCTGAAAGAGATGCCATTGTGAGAAGAAAAGGGAGTAAAAAAGAAGACAATGTTATCTCTTATTTTATCTCAAGTTTATCTTTCGTTGTTGTTTTTACTAAGAAAAGAATTGTGGTAGGCGTTGATAAAAAATCTATATATTATACAATCTTGTTTCTATTTCGATGTTTGTTGTTCACACCCAGAAAAAAAGTAAAAAAAAGAAAATAAAAAGACACGATGTTTTCGAATACTTACGGTTATGTATTTGAATGGTCGTGTATCGTTGTACGTGACTGCAGTGAATTTTACGGGTTAGAAACTGAAATGTAAAAAAGTAATGCCAAGAAAACTGGAACTATTGCAATTTAAAAAGAGAATATCTTTTCTTTTTCAGTTTTCTATCAAATTTCTATTTTTACTTAATTATACTTTTTGTCTATTTTTATCGTTTGACCGTTATTTTTTTTTCTAATTACTACCTATCTTTGTATATAAAATGCTTTCTTTTATGGTATTTTACATCAGTTTCCTTCTTACTGTTTTTATTTTTAAATATTTTGATATTATTTTTTTCTGAAATTTTTCATCTGGTTAATCTTTTTTTTTTTTTGGTCAGTATCTGTCTGAATAATGTAAATAGTGTTCTTTTTGTTCGTTTCTCGCTTTCGTCTTTTCTTTCATTTTTTCATTGCTCTCTAATATTTTTTCTATTTCTTTCTTTTTTTCCATTTTTATTTATTTTTTTAAACTTTTTCTTTAGCTTTCTTTTTCGTTCGTTTTTTATTGATATTGAATGGACTCTTTTTTTCCCTTTGTCTGATTCTTTGAAATTTTATTTCTGTCGCTTTTCTAGCTTTTTCAACCATCCTTTTATTTAAAAAAAATTCTTTTCCATTTTTATTATGAAAGGAGGAAATTTTTGTTTTATTTTCCTGATAAAAAGAAGAAAAAGATTTTTTTTCATTTTTCATTATGAGAAGAAAAAAAAAGAAAATATAAGCGATATTCTTTTGTTTTCTTTTTTCATCGCTTCCCTTCCTTTACTTTTTCTTCTCTTTTTTATTTTATTTTCATTTTTATCTTCTTTTTATCGTTTTTCTTTTTTCGAGTATAGTTTTTCAACACACGTTTCTTTTACTTATTCAATATTTTTATTTC